AGACCTTATCAGCAGAATTATCAACCTACAGAGAACAAAAATCAGAACATAAATAAACCAATCCCATTGGAAATCGATAACGGTTCGAGCTTCTATAGACAGCGCAATAAATTTCAAACTTCAGTTTCTCCACAACAGCCTCATGCCCCACAACAACTTTCTAAATACACTTCTAAACCACAAAATCCACAAAGTTCTAATCTCGCAGTATCATTTAAGCGTAGTAATGATCGAGTTTTATCTGACCGTTCGCCGTTTCATAAAATACAGAAGGTGAACTTTATGACGGAAGTAGAAATTCCTCCCAATGACCGAGAATATGAAAGTTTTAGTGAAGATTATAATCAATATATAGGAGATCACTACAATTATAATGAGGTTGTCGTAACACCATTAGATAACGGCGATGAAGACAACTATTTAAACTAAGATCGCTCCTGCCGTTCATTACGAAAAAAGGAAGAAACGGTCAGGAGCTACGATTGACAGAGGAACATCCAAAAACTTTATTAAGCCATTACCATTTCTGCAAGGAATCAAAACCCTGAAAAACGGATTTAATTTTAAATGGCTGAAATTCTCCCTGCATGAATTTGTAACATTTTCGCTTAGCCAAACGTCAAAATTGTTCTCTCTTCTTAATAATTTTACTGATCTTTTGTCTCAACGAACACAATTCAGTAAAATGCAGTAAAACTTGTTTCTGCCCTTCTAGTCGCCGAACAGAACTATTGGGAATTTGGTTAACTATGACCAGAAACGTTTTGATTCATGCCCTTTTTATTTGGACAGTGAACTTAGTATTGTATCAGTTTCTGGATAAAAACATACGAAATCAAATTCGCACATCCGATAGCAAATTTTTCTTTAAGAATCGTACGGTACAGAAGTTTTTTAAAATTGAACGAAGTCCACTTAAAATCAGAAAATTTGATTGTTACGTAAGACTATAAATCAGTATGATTTTCCTTACCTATACTTTACAATTCATGAACTTGAGAATTTAGGAGGCTATTTTGAAAGTTTTGAAAGCAATTTTTGCTACGAAAATAAGCTTTCCATGTCGGTCCGAACTTAATTTATCTGTTGTTGTTTAAAATACAAAGAGTACATACTGGAGCCAGACATTGAATTACAACATCCTTCAACGTATCGGTGGTTGTGGAAATAAAATTACGTGATACGTAAAACGCAATAACGGGATGGGCCTATTCTGTCGAGGTAACAAAATTTACCTTGGTATTAGAATTAACCATTCAGTAAATTTTGTTACCATTTCGTATTCTGAGCTCACTGTGACCCTGTAAATTATTGTTACGATTTTACTGAATCAACCTCGATTATTTTCTAGATCCTTCGGGTACGATCTCTGGATTGTTAAATAAAAACTCGCCAACTTAATTTGCAGTTTCTTTCGTTATAAAGATTTATCTAATGTCCTTTATTTACTCAGTAATTCACAATTCAATTAAATGCACTTTACTATTTAAATCACTCATCAACTTTCACAATTTACTCTACTTAAATGTAATTCCCAACGCGTTCACTTTACGACTTCTACTGATGTTAACGCCAACGAGTTTCTTTGTCACTAACTTGACTTGCAGCTGAGTGTCGCCTTTATATAGCAGTCGGCTGCTCGCAGACGAAAGCGTAGAAGCATCGAATTGTTCGCTATCGAAGGTTCTCGTTTTATCGTTTCTAGAATGTACTAGTTATCGGCTTCTCTCTTTCATCTGACATTCGCCTCGCATTTCCGCAACATTATGTTACCAGCGAAATAGGGGGTAACAAAAATATCTGCTGTTTGATTTTGTGTTCTAAGTTTAAGCAAAAAATACAAAACCAAAATGGGTAGGCATATATTAAGCCTGGAATTCATTGAAAGTGAAGAAAAAAGTGCAAAAAGCCGTATTTTAAGAAGTTGTCTAGACTAAAAAATAGCTCTTTAATTTGTAAGACAACGTTTTCAATCAGCTTTTTTTGTTGTCCAGTCATATTTTCCATAATAAGGTTCAAATATTTATGATTTAATAAACAAATTACTAAACCTTTTTAATTTTTTTGTGAACCGTCTTCCATTTCGATGTGAATATTTTACTTTTTACTTTATCAACTGGCAAATGTAATTTGACACGGGTGAAAAAAAGCAGTGCTGCCAAATTTTTTTCAAACATTGTAACCAGATATTATTCCAGAAAAATAAGCAATCTCAGAATACAGCAATGAAATGTTATGTACAGATTCAGCAGGAGGCAGTAAAAGTATTCTAATCCCCATGACACAGTCAGAAAGAAATACGAAAATGAGTGTACGGAATACACGCCATCTTTTAAGGGTGATATTTTTGTTCTGGTTAATGTCTCAGCCAACATACATAAAAACAAGGACAGAACCACAACTGACTTGACTTTGTACAGCTAAATTGAAGACTTAGGACGAAGACCAAATTGCTGCTATAGGTAGAACACTCTATAAAGTTACTTTCAAAAATATTATAGCTGCAATTTTATTTGCCAAAAATACTAAACATAAGGTAAGGGGCTTAAGACCTTTATACTGAAAACAGCCATCGAAATCTATGCAGTAGTGAGGGGAATTCGTGTCCAGTATTACAATTTCGTCCTATTGACAAGTACTGTAGGAATCTACTTTATCATTTATAACTTGCTATTTTAAATTTTTCAGAATTTTAAGCTTCAAATATTTTCATTTTTTAAATTATTATAATTTTCACTTTCAATCAAGCAAGAAATTTTTAAATAAATTGTATTTAAATAAATAAGATAAAAAATTATTAATTAACAAACATTAGTATATAGATACACCAATCTATAAGTACAATACCTTCCCAGAACCACAATCAAACTGGCTTAAGGAAGACGAAATCCCCAAACACATCATAAATAACTACTCCAAATTAGCTGTTGACTTCTACATACCAACCCTGAGACAATGCAACAAGTGTGGTCGATTAGAACACAGTCAATTGTCATGCAAAAGCAAAACGAGATGTCTGAGCTGTGACAAGACGATTTGTGAAGTTTCAAGTTGTACTAATAATGTATGCATTTTGTGCCAAAGAAGGCCACTTGTCGAAAAACAAGGGTTTATGTCCACATTGGGAAAAGGTTGACAGAATCAGGAAAATAAAAAAGCTTTCTAGAAAGGAAATCTTAGGGCAGTATTTCTACAGGAAGAACAGGTTCAGTCTACTGGAATTCGACGATGACTCTTTCGCCATGCTGTGCACCAATTCAATAGAAACAATCGATAAGGACTCCAAAATCAACAGGAATTTTAAAAGGAAAACGTATAGTCAAGCCATCAAAGAAGGTGTTAGACAAGTTAAGCCACCATCTCCTAAACTAACACACAACCGACCAAAACGTAACCTTCTAAAACCTACTTTTAATCCGGCCATCAACTCCGTGGAATACCAAAAATAAAATATAGTGCCTCACAGCCAAAGTGATGCAGCTGTGTAAATAGTACAATAGTATAAGTTTTATTTAAAAATTAAATAAATTTTCCAAAAAAATGAATGCTTACTTTATGTAATTAACAACAAAATCAAACTTCACTATTGAATTGATGATGATTCTTGCTTTAATATATTCAATGATGGTAACATAACATACATAACTGACACTAGAACAGGTAGAGGTTCTGTCCTAGATCCGGCCGTTAGTACGAGCTACATGAATTTTAGATAATCTGTCGAGCCCTTTAAAATTGGAGTTAGTCATCGCTTTCCTCTTACAATTGAAACCAAGACGGTTAGTAGACACATACAAAAATTTACCGCAAAGAAATAACTTTTAAAAATATTATGTGATTGGACGTGTGAACCTGATATGCCAACTTTAAGAAATCTCATACAGAATGAAATCGCTAATACGACACATGTATAAGAAAACAAAAGAACATCTAAAATGATGATCTAAAAAAACATACAGATTCTTGTTTATTGCCTGTATAAAGGCTTGACAATTTCCAAACATTGAAAATTTCAGAAATCTCCTTGAATACCAAAAATTATGGAAAAAGAAACGAATACAGCAAAGAAAAATAACTTTAATAAGAAAAATGAGAAAATAAATTACAGGATATTTAGGAACTTGTGGAGTTTCATCAAAGCCCTGAGGGACGATTCCAACCAAAGCAACGTAGACCTCTAGGACGGCAATAATAACCAAGGATACCTTGACTTTCAAAAAAAAAAACAAGTTACATCTGAATCCGATACCTATATTTTAAACAATCTGATTGACCCATGTCACGAACTTAAATTAACATATGAAGAAATTATTAAAACACTCTCAAGCCAAAATGCCGCATCGGCTGGAGCTGACTTAAAACTGCTTCAAACAATATTTTCTTAATTAATTAAATTCCCCTACATTGGCGCACAATCCATATCCAAAGAAGGGCAAATCAAAAATCTTGAAAATTTTCGACACATTTCTCTAATCTCAATACTGCTCAAAACTCTCAATACAAGTGTTAAACACAGAATAAATGATTTTCTTGACGATAACCAACTACTCCCTGACACTACCTTTGCATTCAGGAAGAATATGCTAACATCAATATGCCTAAATCAAATGTATTCAACTTTCGATGTTGAATAAAATAAAAGATTAATTAATTTTTTTTTTATATTCCGTACACTATTTTTATTTATTTATTTATTTTTTACAACGCACATATGTACAAACGTACTGTATTGAGGTAAGCAAGCGATTGAACTTAAAAATACTGTAAGCTTATTATTTATAACAAAGTACTTAGCTTAGTTTTACATTAACGGGAAAGGAGGGGAAATTTCGTTTATCGGTTTTCCTTCAATTTTCTTTGCTTTACAGGAACTGGAAATTAAGGTACGTATTCCAGTGGATAAAGGGTGAGTATTTCAGATTAGGGTAAACAATTCAGGATGAGTATAAAATTTCTTAATATATATATATATGTCTTCAACATGCCGGCGGGACTGCGGCGACGTGACCTGGTCCAAGTCTTCGAGCTGTTGCAGAGTTTTTCGGGCTTTATCTACCAACCCACGGATTCGTTGCTGGAGGGCAGGTGATTTGATGTTTCGTAGAGTTCTCTCGTTGGATGTGCTTCGCATTACCTTGCGCTTCGGTTCCGGTTCAGTGGTGCGCTTTTGATGGTTCTTCCGTGGTTCTTTGGGCAACTCGAAACTGACTTGCCTTCGGCTGTGATGCGGTGCGCGCTCGGCGGAATAAATTGCCAAGTGAGGCCATGGACGGTATATTTCCTGCTGATGTCTTCAGATATCTCTCCGAGAAATGCGATGAGATCCTTATTGAGACTACGCTTTGCTCCAATAAATGTTCGTCCATTGTCTGACATCATTTTGCATGGTATACCGCGTCTGCCGACGAAACGAGCAAATGCGGCTTTGAACGCTTCAGTACTTAAATCTGAACAGAGTTCAAGGTGTATGGCCTTTGTGACAAAACATACAAAAACACAAACATAAGCCTTTGAGTATGATGCTGTTCGGAGAGTTGACGTTTTTACCAGAAAGGGTCCAGCGAAGTCAACTCCTGTAGTTTGAAATGGTAGTGAGTAGGTTGTTCGCTCGGGGGGTAGTGCTGCCATCATTTGTGACTTCGTGTTTTGTTTATATAGGGTGCAAGGTTTACAATGAAAAATGCAAGTTTTTATTTTCTGCTTCAGACGGGGGATATAGTATTCTTGTTGGATCATACGAATCATTAATTGCTTTTTGGCATGAAGTAACGTCGAGTGTAGGAAGGCGAGAATGAGAGTACAGAGTCTTGAGTCGCTCGGGATGATGTTCGGATGGCGCTCATTATAGCTAAGGCCAGCGTAACGGAGACGTCCATTCACGCGTAACACCCCTGCTTTGTCTAAGAACGGGTTGAGCGTTAAGAGAGGGTGCTTCTTATTGGTTGGCTTGGATGCTGAGAGAGTGGAGATCGTATTACCGTAGTGTTGATGCTGAGCGTTCCGAATGAGTATCGTTTTTGCTTGGTTCATTTCATCTTGGGTAATGCAGCGTGAGGAAGGGGCTGGCAACCCTTTTGCCTTGTTTACGAATCTCAGCATGTAACCTACTACTCTGAGTGCCCTTGGATAGGATGAGAAGCGTTCCAACAGATCGGCGTTTTTGGCTGCATGATGTGCATCTGCTTGTCGCTGTTCTGGTGGAGAGGAGTGCGAGGTGGCAGTTTTCGGCCAGAATTCTGATGGTTTGGTTAACCATTCTGGACCGGACCACCATAGAGGGGAGTTGACAAACTCCTGAGGTTTGATACCGCGCGTACCTAAATCAGCTGGATTGTGAGAGGTGGGGACGTGTCGCCAAATAGTGTTATTCACGTTTTGTAAAATCTCAGAGATTCTATTGGACACATATGTTTTCCATGTCCATGGAGGTTTTTCCAACCAAGCTAGTACGATGGAGGAATCACTCCATAAAGTTAGCTCGTGAGGTGGCAGATCGAGTTGAGTTTGTATCTGCTTTACTAACTTTGTGAGAAGTGCTGCCCCACAGAGTTCCAGTCTAGGAAGTGAAACCGTTTTAAGGGGGGCAACTTTGCTTTTAGCAGCGAGTAAGTGGGACGTCGTCGATCCGTTGTGCTGAGTGCGTAGATACACGCACGCGCAGTACGCCTTTTCGGAGGCGTCAGAAAATCCGTGTATTTGGATAACGCCTTCCGGGTAGAATTCTACCCAACGTGGAATCCTTATTTCGGTGATAGCCATGAGATTATTCCGAAACGAGTTCCATTTGAGAAGCGAAAGCGGCTTGACTGTTTCGTCCCAGTCTGTTCCTTCCATCCAGAGCTGTTGAAGTAGGGTTTTGGCAGTTATAATTATAGGCGAGAGCCATCCTGCCGGGTCAAAAAGCTTCGCGACTGCTGACAATATTTGCCTTTTTGTGGCAGCGTTTGTGTCAGGAAGGGCGTCAATGGAATATGAGAATGTATCTGTCAATGCATTCTACCTAATTCCGAGAGTTTTTGTAGTGCTCGTATCATGAAATTGCAGAATTTCTGAGTCTAGGAGATGGGTTTCGGGTATTTCGTTCAACAGTGATCTGTTATTTGCTGTGATTTTTCTGAGCGGGTATCCGGCGGATTTGAGCACTTCGATTATTTGAGATACTGATGTTTTTGTTGAGTTCAGATCGTGTCCGCCGGATAGTATATCGTCAACATAAGTTTCGTTAACTAAAATTTTTGCGACTTGTGGGAATTTTGGTTTGGAGTCTTCAGGCAGCTGATGGAGTGTTCTTATGGCTAGGTATGATGCACAGCTCACACCAAACGTTACTGTTTTTAGTTTGTAGTCTTCTACTGGGCCACTTGGGGATTCGCGAAAGAGAATCCGTTGGAAGTCTTGATCTTCCTTGTGGACATATATCTGGCGATACATTTTTTCAATATCGCCGTTAAAAACATACTTATATAACCGCCACCGGATTATTACGAGCATAAGATCGTTTTGCAGTATGGGGCCTGTATGCAGTACGTCGTTTAGGGACAGACCTGAGTGAAAGAGTTTAGACGCATTGAATACCACTCGGACTTTTGTGGTTTTGCTATCGGGTTTTATTACTGCGTGATGTGGCAGATAGAATGAGAAGTATTTGCCGTCCCGTATAATTTCTTGGGCATTCGTTCGCTCTATATGTTCGAGTGTTTGGTACTCTTCTAGGACCTCTGCATAGATTTTTTGGAGATCTGGTTTTTTCTCCAGGTTTCGTTCGATGCTGATGTATTGCTGCTGAGCTGAGAGTCTTGAGTGTCCTAATGCCATCGAGTTGGGAGATTCCGGTTTGAAGGGGAGTTTTATCACATATCGACCGTCATTTCTCCGGTAAGTGGTATTTCGATAGAGGTCCTCGCAGATGGTGTCTTCATCCGTCTGTGTCTGGGCTCCTGACACTTCTTCTTGTTCCCAGAATTTCTTCAGCAGATCACCTAAGGGGTCGGTCATGGTTTCGATTACTTGCGTACTGAGTGAAGTAATCGGTTGTGCTACAGGTCCGCTTAAAATCCATCCAAAGATGGTATTCTGGGCTATGAGGCTTCCACCGATGTCGTTTTTAAGGCTTAGGACTAGTATTTTCGGTAGGATATTACTACCGACTACCATGTCGATTCTTGCTGGAGCGAAGCAGCTAAGGTCTGCTAAAGGTAGAGAGGCATATCGTTTTATATCAAGTTATGTGATCTTGAACGACGGCAAGAATTGGGTTAGCTGTGGGAGTATAATCGCTTGAGTTGCGATTTTTATTTTGCTATCGTTGGAGCATATTGTTAATGAACAAATTTTATTTGAATTTTGTACCGTGTGTCCGCCCATTCCTAGAATCTCGTAATGAGTTTTTGTGGTGGGAAGTCCTAGTAATTTTTGAACACGAGAGGTTATGAAGGTTTTTTGAGACTCTTGGTCTATGAGTGCTCGTATTTGAGTTATTTCTCCTTTATGGAGAATCGGGATGATTGCTGTGGGAAGCAATGTTCTTTCTCTACTGCTGAAGAAGTGTGAAAGAATTTTATCATCTTCTCTTGGAGTTGAGTTTGACGCTTTTGCTGCCTGTTGAGAGGGACAGGGCCGTTCTTCGTCAATTGCCACTTGGGATGTGACAGTTTTTCTTGAGAACCTTTGATTGTTAGCTTTTTGGCTATTATTAGAGTAATGGAGGAGTGAGTGATGCCTTCTTTGGCACTAGATGCATGTAAAATTGCTCTTGCAATCTCTCTCGGTGTGAGAGCACGCCAAACAATTTCTACAATAATTGTGATCTTTTATGAACTTGTTCCGATCGGGGACGGAAAGTTCTCAAAATTTGAAGAACATCATCATAGAATGGTTTGAATTACAGAGTTTGCACGATACTGGTTTTCTTGACTCAGTATGTAGTGTGTGCATTTTATTCCTATTCAAGAAGGTGGAGTTATGTGTCGGCCTGTGAGTTGGCCTAGGGATGGAGTCTGGAATTTGAGGTTTCGGAGTTTTTGGATTGAGTTTTTCCAAAACTTTAAAGCGAGTTGTCAAGAAGTTACTCATTTCAGACCAGAGGGGTAGGTCTCTTCTGTTGCAAACTTGCTGTTCCCATAGAGACAGGGATTCTCGAGGTAATCAAGAAGTGCATATGCGCAACAAGAGTGGGCTCCAGTCGAGTGTGGAAACTTGGTGAGATTTGAGGATGGAGAGACTATTTGTTATCGTAAGATGGAGCTTTTGAATTTGCTCCGCGCTCTCCACTGGGATTTTTTTGAGATCTAATAGGGTATCTATTTGGTTATCTACTAGTAACCGGAGGTTTTCATATGGGGATGAGAGTGCTTGCCACGCAAACTCGAAATTCAAGTCGCTTACCGAATACTGTTACCCGTGCTGCTTCTCCCCGTGTCTTCGTCTTCAGGTAAAACAACTTTTGCGCATTCGATAGCATGGGATGTTCTATATATACTGCTGTGAAAAGGTCTCGGAAGGCGGGCCATTCTTCATAACCTCCATAAAATGGACTTGTGTCACATGCTGGTACTTTAAGGTAGTGTTGTGAATTGGGATGGGGTTGAGATTGCGCTGTGGGCTGCGCTTGGCTTGTTAATGTGGGGGTTCCGGTTTATTAAATCCTTCAAGTGCTTCACTTATCCGGATTTTCGTAGTCTCGTACTCCTCTGCGCACATAATCCGAGTTTTCTCATCCACTGAATCGCTAAGCTGCATGATGTTGTGAGTTGTGCCCACCTTATCTTCTGTGTAATTGCGAGATTTCCTCCTCTGCTTGAGATTTGGACCGAGTGCATGGTCCTGTTAGGGGCTTCTCATCTGGCATCTTCTCGTAGAACTCGGAAATGTGTTAAAAACAAAAAAAAAAAATTTTTTTTATTATATTTTTTTATTTATAATATTGTTTAATTTTTAATGTTATTTTATTTCTAATATTATTTTATTTTAATATCATTAAAATTAAAATTATTTGTTTATTATTATTATTATTATTATTATTATTATTATTTTATTTTTTTATTTTATTTTTTTTTTTTTAATATTAGGTCTGTCCCAATTTATGTGGAGCGTACTTTAGTTTGGGTGGCGTAATAACAATGTGCCTGCCTAAGCGCTTTTGAGTACAGTATGTATATATATGTATAAATATGTCTAGTGTATATATACCGTATAATGCATGTATACTGACCGCTAGCTATTGCGAATAGCGAAGGTGTGGAAATAGCCGCAATGCGAAAAGGGGAATTGCATACGCAATATGTATATGGAGTGTATGTATATATGCTGTTTGGTTGTTGTGTAGCGGACACCTCGCTATTAGAGTAGTGGTATGAGCAGCTGTGGGTGGGTAATGCCAACACACTGGTCCAGTTGTTGAAAGGGGTTTCGGGCCAGTTGGCATATATGTACAATGAGATGTATGTACGTGGGTATATTAATAAAATGAGACGGATAAAGGAGTACTCACTTTGGTATATTCTTGTATTTTTACAAACCCTTAATAATTGTTGTGTGAGCGGTGTGGATTCTGGCTTTTTGTGGGTTTTTGTTGTTGATCGGCCTACTTGCAGTTTCTTTTGTCGGGAACCGGTAAGTATGTACTTTTTAATGGTATGTATATATTTCTTTATTTATATTAAATTTTTTTTTTCAGGACCTTTTTTTTTGTTCTTTATCAGGGACCGTTTTTTTGTACGCATATATGTATATATATATATTTTTTTTTCGAACGCGAACGCTATGTTTGTATGTACGCATATACGTGTATATATAAAAATTTTTTTTTATTCGAACGCTATTTATATATATTTATATAGTTATTTTTTTTCACCGAGCGCTTTATATATATTTATATGAAAATTTTAATGATTTGTACTTATGTACATATGTATGTATATATGTATATATAGATTGTTACGATTTTACTAAATCAACCTCGATTATTTTCTAGATCCTTCGGGTACGATCTCTGGATTGTTAAATAA